GGCGTTTAAGCACAAGACAATGGCCATGTACTTAGGTCTGAGGAAAGCAATACAAAGCACCCTGTCCACTCTCCAGCACCGCCTCTCCTCTCACAGTGCTGACAGGGTCCTGATGGCTACTTTAGAGATGACAGAAAGCAGTGAATCCTGATCAGTTACTGCTAGGTAACACATCGCCATTTTCATCGGTTACACAGCTGGTTATCAGTGATTTTATGAGGCTCAGCTTCTCTGTGCAAGCCCCTGCACCCAGACCTCATGCAACCTCTTGCCCTCGGCTCTTCCCATTTCAGAGATTAGGAAATCGTGGCTGAGACGTTCAGTAACCTACCCCAAGTCACAAAGAATAAGAGGTTCCAGAGCCACAAGTCTCCTAGGCAGAGGCTGGCCCTGGCCACCATGTCCGACATTTGCACGCTTGTGCCTTTATTGACCAGCAGCCCTAAGGCCCTTCAGGACCTTCACTGTTGGGTTTCTATTCACAACCAGGCCCTCAGGGCCTCCCACAGAGCCAGGCATATAGGGGACCCCACATGGAGGCTTTCTCCAAGGAAACCAACTCAAATTCACTCAAAGGGGCACCTCCCCAAACTGTCAACAGGGGTAACAGGAGCACCCAGGGCAGCTGGCTGCTGTGAGGGTTCCAGAGCCTCAACATTGGGCAAGGCAAAGTCAACAGCCAAACCCAGCAGCAATCCAGGCAGGCTGGCTGGGGAATCTGTCCTTCCATCCATGACACACAGCTATCTTCCAGGCCAAGAGTGCTGCCCCAATGACACCTGGTGCCCAGGAAAACCACCACCCATTCCCCTGAGCCAAGAGCGCGCGCGCACTCTCTCTCTCTCTCTCTCTCTCTCTCAACCACCCCACCTCCCTCCAAACGGTAAGGCCAGCCACTGCCCCCATGAGGCCTGTTTCCCTAAATGCCCCTTAAGAAAGGAGGGTTAACTCTCTAAGACCCTTTGGATCCAGGCACCCAGCACAAGGCCACAACTGGCTGGAGAGGTCTAGCCTCGCACCCAATTGCCCACACCCTCTTTGGCACCAATGCAGAGCCTGTTGCTGCCCCTGAGAAAGTCCCTGGTGGGAAAGAATGGCCAGCCCTGCCCTCCACAACACCTGCCCATGTTCTGCTAAGACGTGGGGCCATGACCAGGCCGAATATCCTGCGAAACTGCTGCACCTCATCGGGTGAGTGAGTACCTTCCTCCCCGTTGGCCTCAGTGGCACCACACACCCATTCGGTGAGGGCCACTTGCAGAGTCTGTGGACCTGTCTGGCAGGGGCCTTAACTGCTGCGTCCCCAGAAGGAATCACCATGCGCTAAAAGTCACATTTACTGACCCCCTATCAGGTGCATTACCTCATTTCATCCGCACTAGTGTCCTACAAGGTGAGAGCAGGTCCACACTGTCTTACTCAATATTCCCAAGTCAAGAAACCCCCCCAAAGTGAAAGTTTTTCGTCCCTGCTTTGACCTGGCAAGAAGCTCTTAGGTGTCACTCTTGATCCCAGATGGCCTAGGTGAGTTTGGTCAAGCAACACAGTTCCAAACTCCACAGACAGATCCATAAACCGGAAAAGCTCGGAATTCCAAATCCTATCAGGCCTCAAGGATTTGGGGTAAGGGTCTTGGGCCTGCTTTCCCGGACCGAGAGAAGAGGCTCCTAGAAGTAACTTCGAGTCCTCGGGAAAAAAGGCTGGTCTAACTCTACCCGCCCTCAAGAAACCTATGCATCCCACCCGACTCCGCGTGCCGAGTTCGAATCCCGCCCGGCATCTGGCGGGAGGACGACTCGCGGTGCCCCGCACCTG